AAGGGACCGAAGATGAAGTCATAGCAGGCTCTTCTAATTAACAAACTGCGGACCTCTTGGACAACTATCAGAACAGCTTTTAATTGAACAAGGAAGAAACTATGATCAAGGACTAGGACAGCAATAAGTAAGAAGGCAAAGTTTGGTGGGTCCCCTACCTGGACATTAGTATGAACTACATTCACCCCTTCTTCCCCAGCTTGGTGGATGTCAAGAGTGTTTAATTGGGGAGGATGGGGATGAGTCTCTAAGATCTTAGTAACAGCAAGATCATCCAAGACTTCCAAGATGGGAACTGCCTTTAGTAAAGGACATTAAATTAAAATCAAGCCCAGAGGTCTATACGACAGCGGCCTGTAAGCCTCAGATTGAAGTTATGAATGGAATTGTGTTTCTATAAATCCTGCTTCTAATCATGGATTCCCTTGAAAATTCCCCACGTGGCCTGAGGTTTGTTAGATGCCACAAGATGCTGTGAATCTGCAGCCTCATTATGGACGTGGCATAGATTCTTTCACACCTGGCTCCTTCTCTCCTCTCTGTGCTGTACAGTGTGGTAGGTCAGTGTTGCAAGCGAAAAGCTCTTAGACCCAAACATTTCTATCACATGAATCTGAGAGAGGCTCCAGGCCTTCAACTGAAATGAGTTCACGAACAGCATACTACTAGAAACAAAAGAATCTTACAAGCACTCTGAGTCAATAGGGAGGGGACAGCCCAGATGAAAGTGACAGGCTCCAGAGCTTCTCAGCCAACACACTGGAATCCTTTCTGGCTGTCGCCAAATTCAAGAGCCAGATCCTAAAATTAAAGAAGGGAGATATTCCGCTCCTGCTAACTTTCTACAGAACAGCTCTAGAACACAAAGCTCCTACTATTCTGTTTAATTTATCTACATGTAAATGTCTCCTGGAGGTGTGGAGGAGGGGCAGCTGTGGCTCTTACACAGCTTGCTATGATCCTGTGGGACTCACTCTGCATAGCCCAGTTGTATCTCAGCTCCTACCTTAGTTCCACAGACCCTGTGTAGAGTGGATATAAGGGCCAAGAAGATGGCTCAGTGGATGGAGTGCTTACTGCAGAGGCACAGGTCCCTGATTTCAGATCCCCAGCACCCAAGGTAAAAAGTCTGTTAATCCAGATCTGGGAGGCAGACTCAGGAGGCTCCATGGTGTCAGCCAGCTTGGCCAGTTCAGTGTCTTCACAGGTGTGACCATCACCACAAACCAATTTTAGAACATCTTCTTTACTAAAAGCAAAACCAGAGGTATAAGTCACTCTCTATGTGGAAATCTCTCTGCTGTATCTAGCACTTTGCAAACAAAATATAGTTAAAGGTTCAGCTTAGTCTAATATTCAAGAAAGGTTCGGTGTGTTATGTTCAGGAGGCAGAGGAAGGGCAGGGAGCATTCCGACCATGGATGTCTCCAACAACCCTAAACAGTAGATGGTGGTTTACAGTTACGGTGGTCAGGTCACCTGCAATGGTTTCAGTAGTGTTGCTGACACAGAAAGTCCCTGAGAGAACTCTCCTGACAGCACTCACATAGTAGACCTTGGGTATAACTATCGTTGTGACCTAATTTGTACCAACTTCTTGAGGAGACATTCAGGTGACTTTCAAATATTTCTACTGACAGGTGAGATGGCTGAAAATATTTACCAACTCAGAACCTGCCATCACTTAAGAACTCTGCATTGAAATAGAAATTAATTTAAAAAAATCATTTCCACTAAGCAAAGCCAGCTCATCTTGTGATTCCCCTTATTGTCACTATTCTGCATAGGTATGTATTAAACACCCTTTCTCTAACACTTAAAAATAAATGCAATTGACAGCAGAGACCAACTGTGAGAATCACTGTCAGGGAGAGCTTTGCCCCAATTGGTGTGGTATCCTGAAACGTGTGCAACTGTGCTGAGCAGGACAGACCAGCACATGTGGAGCTGCCTAAGTCATTCCCGTGCACCGATTCCCATATAGGAGGTCTTGTCTGTAACACACAGCTGAGCGCTCTGCCTTGTATCCCGACTGCACTGACTTGCTCCAAACACTCTTGGATTTGCCACTTTGTCTGTCTGCCTGATGCTTCACTTCTCGAAGCCTACTATTTGCATATGTTGTGACAGTGATTGAGCAGGTAATACCAATAAAAATCCCCACTGTACACACTCTCAATTATGAATCATTAGCCTAATATCACCTTAAATCGGTAAATAAAATAAAAATTAAGAGGTTATCGGTGGCCTGTCAACACTTCTTCTCAACGTTGGAGATAGAACTTCAAGCCAACTGTAAAGATACGACAAATTTAAGTATTCACTCCAAATCAACCTGCCAGCCTGTCTCACTGGGGGCCTTTCAATGCCAGTAGCATTACACTGTCTCCTATTCAGTCAGTCATTGTATTAGCTAGCATTCTCTAGAGTAACAGAACTTATAGAATGAATCTGTCTTCATATACATAGAAGGAAAATTTATTAGAATGGCTTACAGGCTCTGCTACTCCAACAATGGCTGCCTATGAATAGAAAACCCAAGAATCCACAAGACTGGACGTCTCAGCTGGTCTTAGGTATACACTGGAATCCCAAAGAAGCAGTAGGCTCTAATGCCAGTGAAGGAATGGCCTTGGTAGCAAAACAAGAGCAAGCAGACAAAGAGTAAAAGCTTCCTTCTTCTGACAGAAGGCATGGCCCAGATTAAATCTGGATTAAAGATCTGGAATAAAGGTATCTCTCTCCACTTCAAGATCTGGATAAAAGTTGTATCTTTCTACCCCAAAGATCCCAACTAGAAGTAGACCTTCCCACTTCAAATTAAGCAGAAATTCCTCACAGGTGTGGCCTATACTTTTGGGGTTTCGCTAATTCCAAATGAAGTCAAATTGACAACCAATAACAGCCATAACAGTCATGTTTTCAGAGGTGGACATCCTAAATAGCTTCCAGGAGGAACAAACAGGAGAGAGGCCCAGCCCTTGGTGTGTCAGTGACCACAGTGCTTTTCCTCTCTCTGGTCACCAGAACCTTCAGATTGGCCCCTTGTTCCCTATGTCTCTTCATCTAGGGCATGGCACTGGACGAGATCTCTGCTCAAACCCCTGTCAACTTCCTCCACATGGACCCTCCCTGACTCACCAGAGAGCTTGGCACTCACTGTACAGGGCTCTCAATTTTTGAGGAATCTGGAGCATAGACTATGATGCTTCCTTAATCACTGGGGGGAAAGCAGAAGTCTAGAGCATTCCTAGACAGCTAAATAATGCTATATTATATGAAGAAGCCATCTTCAAACTTCCAGGTAATCCTAGGGAAACTTAGCTTTCAGGACGTGGGGCCAAGCTTTGTCAAAGTGATTTCACTATTACAGAGCCACTAGCAATCTAAAAGTGGTTCTGAATTTTCACATGCTTTTCTCCACACTCCGTGTTTTTACCAGACTGACTTAAGTATCCAGCCCTTGGGTACAATTGGTTTTGAGTGGGGAGATAGAATAAAGTCTTACATAGGATTCTTTCCCCTGTACCAGGCTTTACTTACTCCCATGTTTGCATGTTCAACATGCATGTTTGAAGGCAAGGTTGAAGTTTCTCCCTGACATGGCCAGTGTGAACTTCCTTCTACAGTAACAGAGAGTGAAACCCTCAAAAGTGGAAAATGTGGATCTCTGGTCCTTATAGTGCAAGGTATTCTCCGAGTAGGTGCTTTGTGGACATTGTCTCTTGCTCCATTGCAGAAGCATTGGGTGAAACCATGACCTTCATCTAGAAGGACTTGGGATGGGGTCCAAAGGACCTTAAACTTAGAGGCAATAGTAGATCAGTAGAGGGCTAGTCCCTATGGTCTGCAAACCCGAGTTAATCTACCAGCAATTGACACACACTGGTAAAAGTCAAGAAAATACATATACCAAAGCGTCTGTCCAGGTGATAAAGCACAATCGAGAGTGGCCAGCCTTGTCCTAGGGCTCAGTCTAAGGTTCTCAGCCTTAATAATGCTGGGTCCCTTTTGTACAATTCCTCACGTCGTGGTGACCTGCAATCATAAAGTTGTTTTGTTGCTATTTCATAACTGCAATTTTGCTACTGTTATGAACCATAATGCAAATCTGATAGGAGACCCCAAAGGGATTGTGACCCATGGGTTGAGAACCACTATCTTAGAGACAGTAGGACACCTAGGAAGACTGACTGGTCGAGGAAAAAGTCCCCAAAGGAGAGGTGATGTAGGAACTGGGAAGGGTGGTTAGAAAGATAAGAGGGCATTTGAGACACGCATAGCAGCTCTCACAGGGGGACAGATGAAGGTAGGCTTCAGGGTTTAGAAGGATAGGTTTCTATCACAGATACTCTCTGAATGTAATCTGAAGGCCATGGGTAAAAGACTCTCCACAAATATGGTGGATGTGGGAAAACGTTTAGTAAGAATTAGCTCCTTGTTGGACATCACCAGCCTCACACTGGAGTCATGCCTGAATGGAAGTCGGGAGTGTGGGAAAGCCCTTTGTGAAAAGGTAGACTCTGCTCCCTCCGCACCCAGGATTTCAAGGGGAGAAGCCCGGTGAGTATGTCGTAGGGAGGGGTGTCTTGAATGCAGTCACATCTCAGAAAACTCAGAAAAGAGGCGGCTGTGTGGCAAATGTAGGGAGACCATCAGCTACCTCTCTGTTCCGTCCTACAGTGTAGCTCAGAGCTCAAGAAAGCCCCGGGCCTGCAGAACGTGGGAAAGACTTTTACCACAGCTAGTCTGCCACTCAACACAGAGATAAACCCTATGAGAACTTGTCCAAGATCTCTCTTTGGCCTGGTATAGTATGTCTACACTTGGTGGGGAATAACAAAACCTTTGAGTAAAAATGACATGGGAAATCCTTCAAGAGGTCAAAGGAAGCTTTGACAGATAAGGACCAGCTGAAACGAAGGAAAATTAGAATGTAAATATAGTGCCAAATAAAATTATTTGATTTCCAAGTAGATAAGGAACCGCACACAAATGAACACATTTTATTGCTTTATATACGATTATGTAGAGATTCAATGGTACAGGGTGAGTAGGGGGGAGGGGGGACCTCTTTTTGTCTCATAATTTAAAACACTCAGCACTCTCGTTATCACTTTGATGTCCTTGCTTTCTTCTGACTCATTTCCTCAGGCTTGCGCATGCTCATAGCTGCTTGGCCTTCCCAGGTGAGCTCGAGTCTCCCTCTGTGGCCTCAGTTTCTCCAGTCCTTGGTCAGCAGCTTCTGTGGGTCCAAATCGCCAGAATTCTAAGTGAGATGAAGCCATAGAGAGGTTACAGACAAAATAAAAAACACATCTCTCATTAAACACTTAGGAAAATAATTTTTATACAAATACAATATGTGAAAATATATAAACTATTTGACAACCAAATTTTAAAATTAAATTTTTAGAAATCTATCCTAGAGAAACATTCTCAGAGACATGCAAAGCTGTGCGTAAAAGAAAACCATCATGTTTGTGCTTACATATAAGACACTGAAAATTGCTTAAGTGTTCATCAGTAAAAGTATGTTTCATGAATATACCTTTTCTATGAAATATTGTATAGTACACTGATTCTATATATACAACTATTAAAATATCTCCCAGATACAGTGTTATGTAAAATATATAATATATAATATAAATAAATATTATTATGTAAAATAATAATAAGAGATTTGTTTATTTGAATTTCCCACATTTGAAAACATACCCACAAGGCTATTCATGGAGGATGGACAGGTCCAGAGTCTTAGGAATTTCTATATATACTTTATATAGTGAACTATTGTTTGTTGTTTAAATATGTAACACATATGTATTACTCTTGTAATAAAGGTTTTAAATATTTTCATAGAGCTGTGGCTTAAAATAAAAATGATGTCTCTATGTACTATAAGGCATGAATTTTAAAGGATTTTCTTCAATCTTTGTCTTATTATGCCCAAAAGAATTAAGACCAAAGATCCAGAGTTCCTTGGTCACAGTTAATAAACGATAAGGTAGTTTTAAAATGATGACCCAACACATATGAAGAAGAAAACATGCTTTAAAAATGAGAGCTCACCAGGCAGTGGTGGCGCATGCCTTTAATCCCAGCACTTGGGAGGCAGAGGCAGGTGGATTTCTGAGGCCAGCCTGGTCTACAGAGTGAGTTCCAGGACAGCCAGGGCTTTACAGAGAAACTCTGTCTCGAAAAAACCAAAAAAACAAAAACAAACAAACAAACAAAGCTCAGCATAGATGATTCGCTTCCTTTTAAATACTTACTTATAAATGATCTTTGCTGGTGGTTAGGAATGGTTTACATGTCAACTATCGATCTTTCCAGATCACAAGGAAAGTACTGTGAGTTCCTTTGGTTAATGCTGATGAATTTGTGCTCAGGCACACACGGTTGCTGGCTACCAGGCATTTGTAGATGTTTTCCTCTGAACGAATGTGACCTTGTAATACCAGCTCTGTTTCCTGACTTTATGGCATATGCTAGCATTCCAAAAGCATAGACTTTTCCCCCCAACATAATATTCATTTAAGCCATCAGACCTTTCTTCCAATGTGGAAAACAAGTTTTATATAAACAGATCATATCTTACATTAGCCTGTGTTCTCCCTCACAAACAAAAGGTACATATTAAAGCGCTTTCATGGGGAATCACATACAATCAGAAATATTTTCCCTAATTTTAAATAAAAGGAGGAGGCTTTTCATAAAGAAGTATAAATCACCAGTAAGTATACTTGGATAAGAGTCATAGCGTACCCAAATGTGTTACACTGCAGAAAATATATTTTCTTGCGAGTGTTGTTTTCTCATTTAGCAAAAGAAGTTGGCAGCCGTGTGATGACACATGTGCATTCTCGCTGTTGGGGATCAGTTCTGAAAAGTGAACTGTGAGAAGAAATGAGATATCAGCTGGGTCGGTAATGAGAACACAGCTCCATTGGAAGATCTCGTTCTCGGAAGAGTCATTGACCATTGTACCCAGGCTGTGTAAGTGTTGACTAAGCAGGTTTCACTACCCTGGGAAAGAAGACTACAAAAACGTTGGCATTTCCTGTGGTTAAGATCTGCCTGTGACGTTAAAAAGGAAGGTGGTCACCCTAAGAAACAGGGACAATGATTCTACAATAATTCTGAAGGTAGCAGTGGGTGATGGGTGTGACCAGTTGTTTTCAGGAGTTCATGACAGTCATTCAAGAAAGTTATCACTTAAGAGATCCAAGTTAGAGGGAAGAGTCTCCACTGTGGCTTTGCTGTCATCGAGGTTTGTCACCGTGACACTGGAGTAGAAGAACATCTGTGGACTATTTCAAGGCAGAATTCACCATCATACATGTAACAGTGAAAAGTTACTGCTTCCTATGACCTCAACTGACCAGACTTCTTCTCCCTCCAGTTATGCCATTATAAGGGAACACTGGGAAATGACTGATGTTCTTAGACAATTAAATGAAAGATGTGTGATTTATCAGAGGAAGACTTTATGATAATGTGACACTGTCAAGTGCTGGGCTGGTTCCTCGGTCCCCTAGCTATGCTCTAGTTTCTAGTATCTAATGTCTTTATTCATCCTGTGTATGGGTGTTTTTGTCTGTCTGTATGTCTGCACCATGGATGTGCCTGGTGGCTGCAAAAGCCAAAAGAGGGTGTCAGATCCCTTGGAACTGGAGGTACAGTTGTTAACTACCATGTGGGTGCTAGGATTCGACTGTGGGTCCTCTGGAAGAGCAGTCAGCACTCTCTCCAGCTCCCACTGAACTCTACTGTTCTGCTCCTGCTTCTTGATTCTCCCTCATTTATTTTGTGATTTTCATTTTGTGCTGCTAATTGGAATGAGATTCTAGAAATTCCCTGCCTTCAGGGAAAATTGGTGCCCACTTTAACCAGGCACCTGGAGGCACTACCCAACCCAGAATAACTTAAATATCCATCTTGGGATTTCCCAGCTTATATTAGTCGTGGGAACACAGCCTTGATTCCAGTGAGAACAACTGCCTATTATCAAGTTCTCAGGAGAAATTTAGCTTTTGCCGAATCTCCAGGGGAAGACGGACACTGGGATCCCTTCTGGGGGGGGCAATTTTCTCTGTTTCCTTTTTCTATCAAACACAGGCAACCTACTTTAGGCAGCTCAGCCCTTTGCTCACCTTGCTCAGAACTGGTGACCACTTTCTCCTTCCTCCTGAATAAGCCTTTCTCTTCATTTTTGGCCTTAAGATTTTTTTGGGGGGGTAGGGGGGGTGTTCGAGACAGGGTTTCTCTGTGTAGCCCTGGCTGTCCTGGAACTCACTCTGTAGACCAGGCTGGCCTTGAACTCAGAGATCCACCTGCCTCTGCCTCCTAAGTGCTGGGATTAAAGGCATGTACCACCACTGCCCGGCTAAGAATTTCTTGATAATAAAACTGTACAGTTTTTTTTCTTGGTGGTGGTTTGTTTTGTATTTGTTTGTTTGTTTGTTTGTTTGTTTATTAAGACAGGATTTCGATGTGTAGCCACAGCTGTCCTGGAACTCTGTAGACTAGGCTGGTTTCCAACTCTGAGGTCTGCCTGCCTCTGCCTCCCTACTGCTGGAATTAAAGGCATGTGCCACTGGGATTATTCTGCTCGGCATAATAATCATTTCATAATGGAAAGCTGGGGAGATGTTTTAAATTTACTTTATTCTACATTTTGTTGGGATTGGTGACAACTTTGAGTCCTATTAACCCACAGATTGCCATTCAAAAACCTCTAATCTGTGTCGCATACCGTGGTTGGCCTATGTGAAAGCATGAACCATCCACTAACACCAAGCAACCGTGAGCCTGGATTGCTGAGACTCTAAAGCAATAAAGGATGAGGTCTAAAGGGCATACTTGAGTCTTACCTTACTGGGAAAACATCTGTTCTCTTAGCCCCCGTTTATCTGTAGAAACAACACATGACCTATATGGACATTCTCAGAGCTCATAGGAGGAATGTTCAACTGTAGTTATTAGCTTCTTGCTTTCATCTTCTCTGAAAAATGTTCCCAAATGAGAAATATTCATAATAGGGCTAGAGAGATGACAACTCAGTGACTGTGCACTTCCCAGAGCCCACATCAAGTGATCCACAGCTGCCAGTAACTCAGCTTCAGGAGATCTACCTGGTTCACTATTCTCTACCAGATCCACCAGGCTTCTTCCGGTACCTGCAGCACATGTGCCATTTACCACAGAGCCACATATACACAGAAATAAAATAAATATTAAAAACCAAGCCTATCTTTCTTCGAGTGGCTGTTGTTGTGTGTTTTGTTACAGAGATGAGACACACAACTGATACAACTTGGCAACTAGAATCTGTGACACTAGTTAGCATTGAGCATTTACATTAAACCAAGCTCTGTGTTAATGGTTTTGAATTTGCTACCTCCCTGAACTCTTAAGGAAGCCTAACAAGTCAGATACATTGTATCGCTGTTTTCTAGATGGTAAATCTGTGGAGTGAGAGGTGAGACAACACAGTCAATCATTTTCAAACCCCGTGCTCAAACTCCTTCATTGTTCGCCGCGGGTAATATGTTAACACACCCATAGTATGGTACAACTTTTGCTTTAAAAAAAACTCGAGGGGGCGCTAGAGAGATGGCTCAGCAGTTAAGAGCACTGACTGCTCTTCCAGACGTCCTGGGTTCAATTCCCAGCAACCACACGGTGGCTCACAATTATCTGTAAGGACAACCTGATGCCCTCTTTTGGTGTGTCTGAAGACACTGACAGTGTACATAAAATAAATAAATCAAAAAAATCACTTAATATTGTGTGTGTGTGTGCGTGTGTGTGAGAGAGAGAGGGGGGGGGAGGGAGGGAGGGAGGGAGGGAGGGAGGGAGGGAGGGAGGGAGGGAGAGAGACAGAGAGAGAGACAGAGAGAGAGAGAATCTAAAGGGAATATAGAACTTGGAGTGACAAGAACATAGGGAGAAGAAACAAGACAGCTTCCTTCCCACATGTCTGCTCCCTCAGAGTCTCCACTCTGTCCCGCTTTCTTTTTTACCACCACTACCACCTTGTGTCTGATTTTTTAAAAACATTTTTCTCACCTCCGCTGCTGCTGCATAGTCCCTAACTTATTTCCCTGAATCCACTATTTTGTATTTTCGCCCCCACAACCAACCTACGGATCCTTCGAGGAAGACACAAACAAAGCATTGGCTATTTTAAAGCGCCACGGTTTCTAAAAGCAGTCATCTCTTTATATCTACCCCTCGCCACAGATCCTTCTCAGCTGCTCC